ATCATAATAATAATGTGAGGCAGTGATGGAATGTAAAATAGTTTCAGTCACTTAATACAAAGTAAACCGTGACTAGCTTAGGAGTAATTATTTATTTTAAAACTCTCTTTTTTAAAGAATTAAGAGTCACATACTAAGGAAAAGACCAGGTTTGAAGACAAATATCCAAACCACAGAGAGTGAGCATAAAGGCAAAGTTTCAAAGGTATTCATCCTAAAGGCTAAAATTAGAGGTGAATTGTGGGAAGATGGAAATGAAACTCCTTTGGTCTCATACAAGTGCCTGCAAATAGCAGCCACATGCTTGAGTGCCCTGGCTGCTGAGCCCTCTGCAGCTCCCCAGGGCTGTGTGCGGCTACACCGCGCTCTTCCCATGATATTTATTACCAGGTCAAGCCCTTTGCTTCCTTTCTGACAATTCAACTATGTACTAAAACCCCCATCTGTGTCTGCAGGGGGAATTGCTGGGGCATTTCTGAGAACAGACCATCAGGTGCAGGAGCATGAGCTCTGCCAGCGGGTGCAGGGAAGCCGTGCTGGGGCCAGCCTGCCCTGCAGAACTGCACGCACAGGCCACATGCACAGGGAGAGTGAGGAGGGCTCAGCAAATACATTACAGCCTGTGTTTGCAGTGAGCAAGAGGCACATGCACAGAAGGAGCAAATGGCATTAAGTTAATGAGCAGCGGTCTATTAAACAGCAGTGTGACCGCTGCTCGCGGTCATCTATCCTGGCTCCTGCAGGTATCAGCACTCGTGAAATGATGTGCTCATGTAACAGAGTCAAAGCTGACTTGCCTCATGCTGAAGGATGGAGTAAAGTTGAAGAAGGGAATAATTTGTTTTAAGGCTCTGTAAGGGATAATTTTTGTCATTTCCCCTGACGTACAGCTCAGTGTCAGCCTTGCCAGAAAACAACCATCCTGATGCAAGCAGCCAAACAGACTGGTGGTGTGTCTGTCTGCAAAAGAGAAACGAAAATGTAGATTCTGTATTAGCAAATGGGAAAAAACGACCGCGAGCTTAACAAGTAAATTGAGACAAACTGCCCTTGGTCTAACACATCCATTGCAAAATGGAATGGATATTGTGGCAACAGGAACTAAACTCAATTTTCCGTGCAGTTTAGTGAGAGCAGCAAGTTGAAGTCCTAGGGCCTGATCCTACCCAATGTGTATCGGTGCTCTGCCACCAAGACGTCCTGACCACACACCAGTGAAGCAGCTGGCCTGGAGTGTTTGCTCAGTATACATTCACTGGAGTAAACCTGAAGGAATCCAAAATAATGATAATAAAGTTGATCCAGAAAAAAAATAAAACTACTGAAGAGGAGGCATAGAAATCTCCTGCTCAAGTCTGCATCACCAGCTGTAGCCCTAAACACCTTGTCAAGCTATATTTCACCAAGCTGCATCAGTTCTTGAAAATACAAGTAAAATGGCAGCCCCGCAGGGATTACCTGCTGCCCAGTTAACAGTGAAAAGATTTTGAAGTGTGGAAAGTTTAGAAGATTTCCAGTTTTCTTCTTTAATTTCCATGTTCTGATGACCTGAAGTCATCTAAGGCAGCGATTTAAAAAAAAAAAAAAAAAAAAAAAAATCTATGGCATTTTCTTAAGGGACGAATTATTTTTAGCCATGAAGATTTAAAGCTCTCTCCAAGTTCTTGAACTTTCAGAACTTTTCTTCACTGAGGAGCTTGACAGCAGAGCAGGTTCTCTTTTTCCCAACTTTTCAACTGATCTAATTAAAATATGCAAAATCTCCCTTTCTGCAGGATGGAGTACACATTTTTTGCAGCAAGATAAAAGGAATTTTCCAGAGGCTTTATTTCTAAGAATAATTGCTCCCCTCTCTGTTTTTAGGGCTCAGCTACTGTCCTGCTTCACTTTATGGCAGAGAAATAGGAAACTGTTAAACATTTTACTTGGTTTTGTTCTTGAGATTACTGGCTTCAGACAGCTTTTGTAAGACAAAATATGTTGTCAGTGCACCACTGGCCCTGATTCTGATTGACACTGGCACCACTGAACACTGCCAGAGCTTGGTGTAAATGGAAAACTGGTCCTTTATGCTTTAATTTAGCTCAGGAGGCTCCAGAGGAATGACTTCCCAAACAGGATATACATATATATATATATATATATATATATATACTTTTTTACTGGAGTGTGGGTTAGTATCGCTTTTCAAAAATGATACCACTTCTTAATCACCTACATTTCTGGGATTTTTTGGGTGTGTTTTGTGTTGCTTTTTCAGCGAAGCTCCCCTCTGCCCATCACCCTGTCACAGCCCGGGGGACAGAGGCAGCATTAGCTGCAGTCTTGCCCCATTTCCCTGCTCACAGGACAGCGGTGACACCATCATCGGTCACCTGTATCTCCAACATGCAAAGCTTCAATGGTTTTCCCTGTCATCTCCTGAGGTGGCATTGCACCCTTTTTATGTGTGCAAAAATCAACCCTTTGCTCTTCCAGACTGTGGTCACCTTGTAAAAGGCCCTGGCTGGGCAGAACCCAGGGCCAGGATCTGCAGTAAAATGCAGAACAAAAATGCTATAGAGGATAAACAAAAGGAAATTAATTAAACCGCTTAGAAGGAATTGCTAGAGAAGCCCTGACCTATGTTGTCACTATACAATGACCTTTTGCTTCGTGGTTGCAATTTTTTTCTTTCTTTCTCACTAAAATTATTTTCCGTCCATAATCTGAACCTAATCTTGGCTGTTAAGAGACTGTCTCCTTGGGCTCAAGGCCATTCCCTGGCAGTAAATTCAGTTCATCCCACTGGAACAGGGACAAATGGATGTCATTTACAAAGCCAACTGCACCCACTCAGCACATACACGTATATACGGTACAGCGAAACCCCTGCAGCAATGCGTCACGTGTCCCAGTCCTTGGATTTAAAACCCAGACAAAGTCTTAAGCACGGGTTGACTGAATCTGAGCTGGAAGAAAATAATTTTGTGTTCTTGGACTGACACAAAATGCAGGCAGAAGTTTTGAATAAATGATTTGCTCTGAGTCATTTAGTCGGTGCTGTTCAGTACCTCGGAGGACAAGGAGGACTTCTAAACGTTTGCAGTGATAAAATATTGAGTCGACTCAAGTCCTGTTTTGCAGGGGAAGAAATGTTCATCTCCATGCTCTGACTGATTTAGCTTGTGCATTTCTAGTGCGGCTGCCAACAGGCTCCAACACTTTGAGCTGCGGAGCCTTTTACTGTCTGCGTAACGTTGTTGTGCCCCATTAAAGCTGTTGTTGCATTTCACCTTATAGGTGGGTGCATCTCTGTGACAGATAAAGTGATCTCTGTGCACAGACTGTAGCTAGTAAAGAGCTTTCTTATGAAAAGTGCTAGTTAAGTGCAGCGAGTTCAGAGTGTTAGAATGTATTATTCATCTTTTAATAACATCACAGCAAAATTTAGGGGAGAATGGCAACAATTTTGATCATTAAAGAGGGTAGGACAAGGGTTTGACGTATCTATAAGGCCAATTACAAACTCTTCTCGAGCGTCAAGTCTCGGTTTTAAGCGTAAAGTGGTAAGAAAGGCTCACTGTAGTAATTATGGTACTTACAAGGGAAAAACAATGTAATGCTGGGATTTTGTGCCCATGACAGAACCACAGCAGGGTAGCATGGGGGAGCAGGGTAAGAAACAAAATGTGCTCCTGCACGGGTGCTGCCAGGACGGTGCGATCCTCCCTCTAACAGGTCTGGCTGTGGGCAGTGTCACAGCGTGACGGTGAAGGCAGGATTGGTGCGAATGCCTCTGCCCGAGCTCCTCTCTTCTGGTGTGAATAAAATGCTACGCTCAGCTTAAAAGTGCAGAAAGAAGGGAAGTGAACCCCAGCATAACCAGTGATGCCTGGGGGACGTCAGTGGGAAAGAGAAGGAGGGAAAGACAGAAAAAGACCCTCCTCCTGACCAGAGAGAAGCTTTCCTGGCCAGAGAAAAGGTAAAAACTGGATTTCACTGGATTCAGTCTGTCAGTAAATGAGTTACGAGATTTTCTTAGCTATCTAATAGATTTAGACACCCATGTGTAAAAGTCTCTGGAAAATGAAGAGGAGATTGGGACTCAGAGCCCTGAGGTGGCTGTCAAGTTCAAGCTGAGAGCTGGTTGGTGAGCTGGGTGCCCCTCGATGGTGTGCTGGAATTTGGCTGGATGGGGCCAAGGCAGGCCGTTAGCTTTGCCCCACGCCACAGGTGTGGGTGGATGTGTGTGAGGGGGTATGTATGAGGGTGTGAGTGTGTGAGGGGAGTCTGCATCCGTGTGTGTTTGAGTGTATGTGGGTGTGTGAGGGGTGTGTGTGTGGGGGGAAGGTGTTTGTGGGTGTGTAAGAGGAGCCTGTACCATGTGTCTTATGTGTTAGGGAAGGGTGTATGTGTATGAGAGGAGGTGGTATGTGTACATGTGTGTGAGTGTGTGAGGGGAGGATGTGTGGGTGCGTGAGGGGCGGCTGTATCCGTGTGTGTGTGAGGGGAGGTTGTATGTGTGTGAATGTGTGAGGGGCAGCAGTACCCGCGTGTGTGAGGGGAGAGTGTATGTGTGTGTGTGATGGACGGCTGTATCCGCGTGAGTGTGTGAGGGGAGGGTGTGTGTGTGTGTGTGTGTGTGTGTGTGTGTGTGTCTGAGGGACGGCTGTATCAGCGTGAGTGTGAGGGAAGGGTGGGTGTGTGTGAGTGTGTGAGGGACGGCTGTACCATCGTGTGAGGGAAGGGTGGGTGTGTGTGAGTGTGTGAGGGACAGCTGTATGCGCGTGAGTGTGTGAGGAAAGGGTGTGTGAGGGACGGTTGTATGCGCGTGAGTGTGTGAGGAAAGGGTGTGTGAGTGTGTGAGGGACGGCTGTATCCGTGTGAGTGCGTGAGGGGAGAGTGCGTGTGTGTGAGGGGCGGCAGTACCCGCGTCTGCGGGGAGGGTGTATCCGTGCGTGCGAGGGGCGGCGTGCGCCCGTGAGGGAGTGCGAGGGGCGCTGCGTGTGCCTGGGCGCGACGCTCCGCTTCGGCTCGGGCCCGGCTGCCGCCGAGGGGCGGTCGGAGGCGGCGGGGGAGCGGCGCGGAGACCCGCCTTTTCTTTCGGACGCGGGTCGCAGCCCTGCCCGGCGCCTGCCCGCTGCCGGGGGCGAGGAGCGCGATGCCGCGCCCGCCCTGCCCTGCCTGCCGGCGGCCCCGCGCCTCCACGCCGCCGGCAGCGGCGTAGCGCGCCCGCCCGCCTCGGGCGCACCGGCTGGGCAGCGCGGGCGGGGCGGCATGGGGGCTCCCGCCCCCCGCGGCGCTCGGCGCGGAGCGGATTACAAATGAGCGGCGCGGCCCGGCGCCCCGGGCCCCGCGGGTACCCCGGCATGTAGAACCTGACGGAGCGGCGCCGAGGTAAGTTCCCCCCCCCCCACTCTTCCTCCATCCTCTCCGCGGGCGCGCACCTTGCGCGGGGAGCGGCCCCTCGCTGGCGGGGCCTGGCGGGGGGAGGGCTGGGACACCTCCCCCCCCCCCCCCCCCAACACACACACACCTCACTCCCCTCTTGGCGCTGCCCGAACTTGGAGCCGCGGCTGTTAAATACCCTCCTGGCGCCGCACACCAGCCGCGTGTAACAGGGGCCGCTCTCCTACAGCACCCCCCACACCCCCCGCCGCCAGCCCCGCAGGCACGAGCATCCCCTCGGCCCGGCTGGGAGCGTTTCTCCCGCTGAAGTTGGCGGCGGCGGAACGGCCGCGGTGCAGCAGGGCCAGGGCGGGCGGGCGGCGGGGCCGCGCTTCCCCGCGGGAGTTCCCCGGCACCGCCGGGACTCGCAGCCCTCAGGGACCGTGCTGAATTTTAGCTGTCCTTGCGCTGAACGACAGCGCGAAGCCTGCCAGCCACCAGCATCCTCACACGTGCGGGTTAAATACAAACGTAAATTGTTATTAATTAGGGCGTCCTTGACCTGGCTGGGAGTCGTCTCGCTGACCCACAAGCCCTCCAAATGGGAAAGGTAACAGTGATATCGGGGGGGGTGTTCTCTGCTGTGGTGTTATCACAGAAGAAACACCTCATTTATTGTCCCCTCGGTCCACAGACTGTCAGGCATCTTGCGGTTTATAGTTTACCAAATTACGCAGCCCCCCATAACAAAAAAAAAAAAGTCAGGGATGATTTTTCAAGACTCTTCGTAAGTTCATTTGTTTACTATGGAGATGTGATTTCAGTGGTCTCCTAGGTATAAAAACATTCTGCATGTGTGATATTTTTGGTGGCATTGACAACAGATTTGTTAGTCATGGTTATGAATATGGTAATATGCAAGTCTTCCATTAAATTCTACATGCTCTAGGTAACATGGTTGAACAGTCATGTATGAAGCCTTGTGTTCTCACTGCTGCTGCAAGGGAGCAATGCCGCTTTGAACTTCCAGTCCATTTGATCACTTCCTCTTAACTTTTTGACTGTATTATAAAAAATATTTCATCTTCCAGCTGGTCAGATGTAAACTCTAAGTTTTGTGTCAGGTGCACCTCCTTGCAAGCAAGATTATGTAATGCGGAGCCCTGTGCAGAATGCAAGAGGAAATGGAAGGAAAGATTTTGGGGAAGAGGATGGTTATGTGGTTACAGTGCCTCTGTGTGTGTGTGTGTGTGTGTGTCCCTGGGGGAGAACTGAGGAGGATTATTTACTTCTGTTCCGTGGACATCCTGCCTGATCCTGAGCAAGTCTCTCACTGTTTTTCAGTGTTGCTTGCCTTCTCTGTAAAATGTCTTATCCTGTGTTACTGATTCTCAGGACTGTGTGAAGCTCCTCAGAAGCCCTTGAAAACACTTTTCTGCCAGGGAGGTACAGTGTAAATGCAAATTACTATATTGCTGTTTTAAAAATGCTTTTCAGAAGTTAAAGCGGTATCTTTAGGCAAATTATTGAAACTGCAGCCAAATGTCTTTTCAGACAGCTCCAAAGCAAACTAAAGGAACTATTTTCCTGAGTAATACTCCCCTGTAAAGAAATCTAGTGTAATTTCTCAAGAAAAGAAATTTAAAAAATCACATTTGGGTGTTATCAGATGTGTCACTCTGTTCTGTCCATGAATATTTACACCTAGTTTCTCTGCATGTAACTTGGCAGTAATTATTAGCTGAAGAAACACTTCAGTCCTAGATTGTTTAACCTGTAAGTGGTGAGTGAGGGCATGAAAGAGCTTACCCTGACCATGACATCAAACTGGCCCACTGTGAGTCTACATATCTTTGTGGTATGGTTCTGCTGTTCCATCTGTTTGTACTGTTACTCGGAGATTTGGCAATGATCAATACACTATCAGTTAGGAGCAAGCCTTCCTAGGCAAGAACTATGTCTCAGATACTGCTACAGGGCACATCTCTAACATTAAAAGTAAAGAAAAAGGTCTGAGTGCTGGCTTTTGTTTGTTTGTTTTTTAAGCTGTGAAAAGAAACTAGATGGAAAAGGACTTGAGTTTGAGACTAACCTCTGATCAGCTTTAATTTATCTTGCAAGTACATAGAACATTAATAGACTTCCTTATTTTTATTTATGGGATTCTTAGAAAATTCTTTATGTTTTCATGTGCATTGCTTACATTCTAATATACTGAAATCTCATTGGTTTTGTAATACATTTTTTAAAGGCACGGTTATTTTTCCTAACCATCTTCTGCTTTGGTAGAATCTCAATAGCTTCTACTCAGAATTGCATTTGAGGTAATGCAAGACACGACACTCCTTGATTAAGTTGTTTTTTGACAAGATTTATTTTCAGACAACCTTAAATAAATTCTTAGAATGTCAATTCTAAGGTCTTCTCATGTTGTGGGTTTAATAGGCAAGGTACTGTCAGCTGAGTTACGAGTCTTGCTAATAATATGATTACGTTGTTTTTTGAGAGATACACTTCTTGAAAACATACCTCAAAGGAGAAAATTCACAAAAGCTATGTGCAAATAATTTTTTTTTTCTACAGCAGATGGAAGAGCTCGATAATCACCACTCAAGGGTGGCTAAAATTAGTTTGAAACAGAAAATATTATTCCTACAAGTACAGTAGTGTAATTTGTATGAAATGAGCCAAATCCTACTAATTGTTACACTGGTGTAAATATAGAGTAATTCCTTTGCCTGGAGTTTCTCCTTCTTTATGAAGTAATGTAGAAGACAGGATTATAATGTTGTTGAATTTTGACACGTTCATAGCAAAGGTCAGTTCTTCTTGAAACCCAGTGGCAGAATACAGCCCAGAATTTAGCCCCCCTGTTTTCATGTTCACAATAGCATAATATTCACTCACTGAGACTCCAATTCAAAATTTGCTATAATATGATTGTGGGTAGAGGGTTGCTGAATGACTCAGATGAATGTAGCTCAGAGTAAACAAACATGTAAATCATTTCTGGCTAGAGAGAGAGAAAGGAAAACATGAGAGAGCAGAGAAAAGTCAACCTCAACGATGACACATTTATAATGACATGATCAGCCAGGATCACCAAGTTCAGCAGGATTCAGCCATCAGAAACTCAGGATTGTATTTGCCAGAGTCTTTTATCTTTGATAATGAGAGGAACCTGTATGAAGTGAGTACCTAAATGCAAGTATTACAAACAAGCAGAGTTTTCCACCTGCTTGGGCTGATAGTCTGGTAAAGGGTGAGCAGGCTCATCTCAAAAGCTGCATTTGGGCACATTTAAAGGCCCACTATGAGACCTGGGAACTAGGTGTACTGCCCGTCTCAGACAGGATGCTGCGAGTGAGTGGTAGTCTCTACAATGTCCAGTTCGGGGAAAAATACGAGCTAGCAAGTGATTCCTGGAAGTTTCTGAACCCAAAATCCTGGCTATCAATGTGGTATTGGTATGACTAACTGCAGAAGGATCCAGACCCGTCTTGTGGTTTGGATTAAGGAGTACCAGAGCAAGTCAGTGCCTTTGAAACAACTGTTTCTTTTAGCTAGGTGAGTCTCTAGCACAAAAGCAGAGCAAAGCAAAGGCTATTCTCATTTGTGTTTCTTGCCAAGGGAGACAACCAGTCAGCACAAATCACTGCAACAGAGCATCTTGCCAGTCAGGTTCTCTTTTGAATGCCCAGGACCAGTGCAGTTAAAAGGCATAGGAAGACGGAGCTGTCTCTGTGTGTGGAAGACTGCAGTCACTGGAAAGCTGGGGCAGGATTTCTATCCCTGTCAGCTGTCTGAGCTATTACGCTTCAGTGTGTTTCAGGGTAAGTTAGGTTAAGTTCACTCTCGGGGAAGCAGGAAATGTGCTGGCATCGAGGGCTGAAATGAGAGCTGGGGCTGGTCCACTTCTGCATAAAGATCAGTTCCCCAGAGCTCTGCCTCAGTGCTGGCTAACCTGTCTTGTTTTGGCTGCTTTTACTGTCATGGTAAAGAGAGGATGCTGTGTTGTTGTGTTGAGTTGTTCAATGTAAAACCTGTGCTCTTTCTGAGCTTGGAAAGCAATGAGGAGTCCTTAGAGTGAAGTGTGGCCGTAGGTATGGCATCCTTGCAGTGTTTTATAAGAGATGGTGGCTGTGAAAGGGAGAAACTTGAGAGACATGGCGTATTTCTCTATGTATATGAGTAGCAGGTAGACCTCAGTTCTCATTTCTCCATTTTTTATTTTCTTCAGAGTACATCAGGGTTTATATCGTGTTGGTTACAGTGGCCATCATAGGAGACTTGACTTAGGCAACAGGATAATTTTTGCAAATAGGAATTATGGGTGTTTCTGTTAGATCGTTAGACATGTATTATTATTTATTCTCAGCTCAATCTCTGGATTCAAGCCAGGAAGCTACTTTGTTCTTACTCCCATCTCCCTTCTCTCAGTCTCTTCCTCTTCATGTGCAGTGAACATGTTCCAGTGAGAATTGAAGCAATTTCCTGGCCCCTCTCACATGTACTGCATCGCTTTTGCATCCTTAGAGAGGAATCTGATTCACTGTTGGGGAAGGACTGATTTAAGCACCTGAATAGAGATATGTTTCCTATCATGTCTGCTAATTAATTTGTAATGCTCATTACCACAGGATGCTGTGGAGGGCAAAAGCATAAGGAGGTTGAAAAAGATGAGATGAGTTCACAACGAACAGAAAGTGTATAGGAAACACGATGGTCTGGACGTAACCTCTGGCTTTCAACATTATGAATTGCCAGAGGCAGGGAGAGTGCAGAAGGGAACTCTGCACTGTAAATGCAGTGGCTACAGACTGCTGCCCATCACCAGAGATAAGATCCTGGGATAGAAGGACCATAGGTCTAATCTTTTCCTGTGTTCTCCCAGCACCAACACACATAGCTTGCTAAAATAGCAATTCACTTTCTTCTCGGTAAAATAAAGAGGGGAGAACAGAGCTTATGGAATAGTGTCTATTGAGCATTTTGGTTACAGAATGATA